TTTAGAAAAGCACTTTTAATATCCATTTGGTACAAGGTGATATTATGGTGACTAACATAGGCAAGTAAGATGCGAATGGACTCAAGTCTAGTAACGGGAGCATACGTCTCACCATAGTCCATACCTTCGACTTGTGTGTATCCTTGGGCGATGAGACGTGCTTTGTTGCGGACCACTTGTCCATCTTCATCTTGCTTGTTGCGAAACACCCATTTGGTACCAATGATGTTGTGGTTGTTGGCGGGCTTCTCAACCAATGTCCAAACTTGGTTTCTCTCAAAATTATGTAGCTCTTCATGCATAGCGTTTATCCAATCCGGATCTTCCAATGCTTCTTCAATCTTCATTGGTTCAATGCTAGAGATGAATGAATAGTTTTCACAAAAGTTAGCTAAACGAGTTCTTGAGCGAGTGATTCTCCCGGTTTGTATATCATTGAGGATTTGCTCGACTGGATGATCTTTGGCAATTCTTGCTCGAACTCGTGAGAGCTTTTGCTTGGGTCTTCGTTGAACATCTTCTTCATCTTGTTCTTCTTCTTGGCCTTCTTCATTGTTGACGTCGTCGTTCTCTTGTCGTGGTGGAGAAGGAGGTTGTTGATGTTCATCTTGACGTACTTCCTCGTTTTCTTCATCTTGGTGTGTCCCACTTGTGGATGCTTCCGTGTCGATTCTTGGTTCACCTTGTTGTGAAGTAGAAGCTTCCACTTGGACGGATGAAGTACTCTCCTTCACCTCCGTTGGACGAATTTTGCCAATGGACAAGTCTTGAATTGCTTCCGAAGGGTCTTTGTCTCCTACATCAATTGGCAATTGCTCTACTTGCGAGCCATTAGATTCATCAAACTTCACATCTACCGTCTCTTCAACCTTTCGGGTGAAATTGTTGTAGACACGGTAAGTGTGAGAGTTTGAGCCATAACCAAGTAGAACACCTTCATGAGATTTAGGAGCAAACTTTGAATGACGATGCTTATCAAGAATGTAGCACTTTGAGCCGAATACTCGAAAGTATCCAACTTGAGGCTTGTTACCGGTGAGGAGCTCGTATGCCGTCTTGCCGAGTAGCTTGTGAAGATATAAGCGATTTGTTGCGTGACAAGCTGTCTCAACCGCTTCTGCCCAAAAGTGCTTTGGCGTCTTGTATTCATCAAGCATCGTTCTTGTCATTTCGATGAGCGTCCGGTTCTTCCTCTCAACAACTCCATTTTGTTGAGGTGTGTACGTAGCCGAGAACTCGTGTGAAATCCCTTCTTCGTCAAGAAAGGTGTCCACATTTGCGTTCTTGAACTCCATTCCGTTGTCACTCCGAACCTTCTTGATCTTCACATCAAACTGATTTTGGGCCTTCCTAGCGAAGTTTCTGAAGATCTTCTGGACCTGCGACTTGTCATTAAGAAAGAACACCCACGTAAATCTTGAAAAATCATCAACTATAACTAGATCAAAAGAATTTCCACCGAGACTCTTGTAGGCGTTGGGACCAAAAAGATCCATGTGAAGCAGCTCGAGTGGCCTCCTTGTGGTCATGATGTTCTTCACGGGATGTCTTCCTCCAACCTGTTTACCTGCTTGACAAGCACTGCAAAGTCTATCCTTATCAAATATGACATCGTTAACTCCAAGGATATGATTTCCTTTAATAAGCTTGTCAAGGTTTCTCATGCCAACGTGACCTAGTCGTCTATGCCACAACCAACCTTTTGAGGATTTAGCAACAAAGCAAGTTTTAGGTTGTGCCTTTTTAGAGAAATCGACAATGTAAGAATCACCTCTACGCATACCCGTAAAGACCATTTTATGATTGTCTCGACGAAATACTTGGCAATCTACCTCAGTAAATAGGACATTCAAACCGAAATCAGCAAGTCTAGATACTGAAAGTAAGTTGTAGCCAAGATATTCAACGAGCATGACATTTTGAATGGAACTATCATGTGAGATGTCCACCTTACCAAGGCCAACCACTTTACCCTTTGAATTATCACCAAAGGTGACATATTTTCGAGGGCCGTTGTTTTCAGCAAGTTCATGGAACATCTCTTCATCTCCGGTCATATGATCAGTGCATCCACTATCAAGGACCCATTCCTTTCCTCCTGATTCATATCCCCGAAGATTTGCCATAAGACCAAAATGCCTCATTGCATTATCAAGATCGGAGTCACTATCATCATCATAATATTCATGTTCATCATGATCTTGTGACTCATCATTTCCTAGAGAGGGTAATTCATTAGATAGATGATCAAAGTGGTTACTTTTATGAATTCTTATAGCTTTGAGTATGATATCATTAATGATTCCAACATCTCCTTTAGCATGCTTAAGATTGGCAAGTTCAAGAAGACATTTACCAAAACTAGGATCACTAGAGTTCATCTTACTCAAGGCAATAGATTTATGGAGAATTTCATCCAAAGTTTTCAAGGAGTGATTGGGAAACCGTTCCTCAAGAAATTTCCATACAGTATAGGCGCAATTTTGAGTAGGCAAACTAGCAATCAAATCTTTGGGCAAACCTCTAATGATGAGCTCAATAGTTTTAAGATTGCGAATCATGTCAATATCTTCATCTAGGGTAGGATGCAAGGGATCAATATGGGGTGCACAAGGGCTAGTAATATACCTGTTCAAATGATATTGATTGAAGATTACAAGCATCTTATTTTTCCACTCATGAAAATACTTTCCATCAAGAATCCTAGAGTAGACACATCCATCTTCCTCCAATGGTGATTAAACCAAGGCAATGGAGACCAAAACTCTGATACCACTTGTAGGATCTAGAAGTAGATGTGTCTAAAGGGGGGGTGATTAGACACTTAGTGCTAAAGTTGCAATCTTTAAGCTTTTTCGGTTTAAGTGGGGTTTATTCACAATTTCAGCATATGCAATACATATCAAACAAGCATGCAAAGAGTATATGAGCAGCGGAATGTAAATCATGCAACTTGCAAGAATGTAAAGGGAAGGGTTTGGAGAGATCAAACGCAATTGGAGACACGGATGTTTTTCCCGTGGTTCGGATAGATGGTGCTATCCTACATCCACGTTGATGGAGACTTCAACCCACGAAGGGTAACGGTTGCGTGAGTCCACACAGGGCTCCACCCAACGGCAACGGTTGCACGAGTCCACACAGGGCTCCACCCATGAAGGGCCCACGAAGAAGCAACCACCCACAAAGGGTCCACGAAGAAGCAACCTTGTCTATCCCATCATGGCCATCGCCCACGAAGGACTTGCCTCACTAGCGGTAGATCTTCACGAAGTAGGCGATCTCCTTGCCCTTACAAACTCCTTGGTTCAACTCCACAATCTTGTCGGAGGCTCCCAAGTGACACCTAGCCAACCTAGGAGACACCACTCTCCAAGAAGTAACAAATGGTGTGTAGGTAATGAACTCCTTGCTCTTGTGCTTCAAACGGTAGTCTCCCCAACACTCAACTCTCTCTCATAGGATTTGGATTTGGTGGAAAGAAGATTTGAGTGGAAAGCAACTTGGGAAGGCTAGAGATCAAGATTCATATGGTAGGAATAGAATGTCTTGGTCTCAACACATGAGTAGGTGGTTCTCTCTCAGAACATATGAGTTGGAATGGTGTGTGTGTTCTGGTGGCTCTCTCACTAAATGAGAAAGAGGTGGAGGGGTATATATAGCCTCCACACAAAATCCAACCGTTACACACAATTTACCAATCTCGGTGGGACCGAATCAGAAAACTCGGTCTGACCGAAATAGTAAACCTAGTGACCGTTAGGAATTTCGGTGGGACTGACATGCAACTCGGTAGGACCGATTCGGTTAGGGTTTGGGCATAACGTAATCTCGGTGAGACCGATTACACAAACTCGGTGCGACCGAATTTGGTAATTAGCTAACCAGAGAGTTGGTCAGGCAAACTCGGTGGGACCGATTTGCTCTTTCCGTGAGACCGAGTAGAACTCGGTGAGACCGAAATGTTACAAAGGGAAAACACTGAGTTTACATTGCAATCTCGGTGGGACCGATTGCATATCTCGGTGGGACCGAGAATATTGCAATAGGTAACAGAGAGTTTGCAATCCCATCTCGGTGAGACCGAGATCCTTATCGGTATAACCGAATAGCTAGGGTTTGGCAGTGGCTAATGACAAGTGAAACTCGGTGGCGCCGGATAGGAAGAATCGGTAGGACCGAGTTTGGCTTAGGGTTTAGGTCATATGTGGAAGTGGGAAAGTAGCTGAGGATTTTGGAGCATATCATTAAGCACATGAAGCAAGAGGCTCATTAAGCAACACCTCATCCCTCCTTGATAGTATTGGCTTTTCCTATGGACTCAATGTGATCTTGGATCACTAAAATGTAAAATGAAGAGTCTTGAGCTTGAAGCTTTAGCCAATCCTTTGTCCTTAGCATCTTGAAGGAGTTCCCACAACCTTTAGTCCATGCCATTCCATTGTTGAACTTACCTGAAACGTGCTAGATAGAAATGTTAGTCCAACAAAAGATATGTTGTCATCAATTATCAAAACCACCTAGGGAGCACTTGTGCTTTCACGATGCCATGAGGGCAGGCGAGGGAGAAGAAAAAGAGAGGGAGGAGGAAAGAGGAGGAATGATGCTGGGGAAGAAGGCATTTCCGGCTAAACGTGTCGGCGTCGTGCCGACACGTTGGCCTCGCCCCTGCGGACGAGCACAACCCTTGGGGTTGTCACGGGCCAGACACGGCCCGTTTAACCCCATGCCGGGTGGGCCAGCCCACGAAGCACGGGCCGTTGGCCAGGTTCAGGGACCCTTCTACTACTGTACTCCATCACCAGTCACCTATGGCCCAACTGCCCCGCCGCGCCGCCTCGGTAAGAGACATCGACGACTCCGACCTCCACCGCCACCGCCACCGCCACCGCAACCTCAACCCCCATTCCTCCCTCCGCCGCCCCAGCACCACTTCCCATCAGCGTTCCTCCCACCGGCGCATCCCCGGGCCCGCCTCCGCCTCCGCCGTCCGGGACGCGATGCGCCTCCGCTCCCCACTATCATCCGTCCCCGCGAATCGGGGGGACGGCCAGGCCGCTGACGCCGACTTCCTGCTTGACTCGTGGCTCGGGGCGCTGCGGGACCTCGGTGAGCTGCACTTGATAGCAACCTTTTTTCGTCAAAGGTTTTGCATTTCGTGTTCTGAACGAGATTCGATTCGGAACTTTCATATGCCCAAGTTCAGTATGGAAAAGGGCGGGCAGCATTTTCAAATGCCAGTTCGAGTGCTGTTGCTGTGATTAGCATCTGATGTGGTTTGTAACGCAGGTGGAGACCGCGGGTGGCAGCAGCCAGGCATTGGGAAGATCCGTGTCGACCGGGCATTAGATCGAGCATGTCGGGTGCGTGCGCTCCCCTGTCTTGTCCTTGTTTATTGTCTTTCTCCAAAACATACGTATCATTTTGCCACTGCTGGTGATATCTCTGTGGTGGATTGATTCGTTCGAGTGTTCTTGGTTGTGATCAGGTTGTCGGGGTGGTGACGCTGTGCACGCCAAATGGATACGGCGATCTCATGCTGAATCTGAAGGTGACCATGAACATCACAGCCTAATGTTATTTATGTTTGGTTTCTTGTAATTCTGTAGCATTGACGTTGAGTTTCGCTGATTACCATGTGAAATGTCAGTTTTTTCTTTGCATTGAGTTCATTTGGATACTGGAAAAAATTCCAATCCATGCTTAGTGATGCATTTCTCTTTTGTTGTAACTGCAGAATTTATTCTATGCATAAAGATTAACCAGAAAAGTAGTCCTTGTCACGACATTTGGGAGAACCATTGTTTTCTCCTAAATAATTTGAAGGAGAAGCTAATGTTTGCTTGCCAGATAGATTATATTTCAATACTTACATCATGTCTTGAGAGTTGTAACTTTGATCTGAATGAGTTTCCAACAACTTAGTTTTGCCCGGAGAAGATTGATTAGAAGATAATAATAACATGTCTTTTAATAATAACGAGTTGTTCTTAATAGGACCCATCTGGTACTATTGATGCATCAGTTCACAAGAAAGTTCTATCAAATGAAAACCTTTCAAAGGGTTTATCAGTTGGGTCTGTCATTGTTCTCAAACAGGTAAGGGTATATAACTTGTGAACAAAATGTTACTTCTGTTATTAAATTACTCTATTTTGCTGGCATGAAATTGGCTTCACTGTTGAATCTATTGTCGATTTCAGGTGGCTGTTCTTCGCCCTTCTAGTACAGTGTGCTATCTGAATGTTACCCAGAAAAACGTTGAAAAGGTATTGTTCGTACACTTACATATTATACTTTTATAGGTGCTGACGTAGGCAAATTACGTGTTATCTTGCTACACATTCCTTAAGTTTTTCTATAAAGTAATGTATTATAATACAAAGCAATTAGTTTACTACATACTCAAAGTCAAGGTTGCTTACGAGGTGCGTATAGGTGTGACCGTGTGTGTGCGGGTTGGGTTTAATAAGGTGGACTGCTTTGAGCTCATATTAGCGTAGCTATATATACTCATATATATACTGTTTCTAATGAAAAGTGGGATCTCTTAGCTTGTTTTTGATACCCTTCTACACTTAAAGTTTCATTAGTTATTATGCACTTGGACTATCATAATAATTCATGGATGGATTCTCCTGGTGGAGGTGTCTGACAAAATTATATCATTTTTATGACTGAATTTTACTAGGTTGCCCTTTCTGGTACTTGAAGAAGTTATATTGTACAGACTTGAAGGAACAAAATATAAGATGCATTATAAGTAAGAATCTGTCCCATAAAAATCTAACTGTGACTAATAAAGCAGATTAGAGAACACTATTGAAGCTTACTTGCACTTAGATGCCCATGTTTTTATGTAATTATTCAGACTTAAATTAAGGATGTGTGTCATAGATTGGAGTTCTTTTTTCCAAACGTGGCAAAAAGGGATTACCTGGTTATATTAATAGAGAAGATAGAGCGGAGTTCTAGTTATATGCACTGGTACTTGTTTTGTCAGCACAATTACCTGAATTTAATTGCTTCTCAAGTCTCAGGACCTGAAAACTGTGTAATCATCTTTCGCCATCATTTTTTAGATGATATCTTCTCAGATTTGAATTGCTGTTTTATATCGTAGCTGTTGCATCACAGAAGTTCATCTTAGGTCATGAACTCATAATGATGGTCACATTTCCAGGTGCTGCAAAATGACAGTGTCTCCCTTTGTAAGCAAGCAGTTCCATCAAGTAATTCTGAAAGGCAAAGCCAACAGCCTGGTGACTTACAAATCTCCCTCTTTATTCATCCCCCAAATAAAATTTGATGGTGATTTGCCGTGCTTTCCATAGTGAAATGCAAAGTAACAATGAGTTTTGCAGGCCCAGGAGATAACATGGAAAGGGAAGCTGGAGCGGAAACAACTGATGGAATGACAGCGATCTTCAGTAAGCTCTCGAGGACCAAGGATGGCCGGATAGTCGACTTACTTTGTGATAATGGTGGTGCAGCAAAAGCTGTTAACAGTAGTATTCTGAGAACAGACAAAGATACTCATCGTCTACAAAATCATCACGAGAAACGGATGGAGCAAATGGATTCAAGTTCTCAAATAAAGAATTTGCCAGGCTTCAACACCAGCCAGCAGCTGCAGAAAATCATTTCTAGCATGAATCCAGCTAATTGCCAGCTGAAACAAGGAGGAGGCGTACCCAAGTATGGAACAAGCAGTGAAGCTAAAAGTTCCGCTGACGATATAATGAGAAAACTCTCAGGTGGTGAAATGATGGTTCCCAGTAGCAAGGAGATAACTGTTGCTGAGGGTTCTCGTAGTAATTGTGGAACACATGGTGAAAGCAACAATAGGGATGAGCATCAGCAGCAAAACCCGAATGCAGACACAAGATGCACACAGCCGATTCTAGGTGGAAGCTCAGTTATGGCTGGAAGCAGAGATTGTTCGCAAGCTTCCTGTAGTGGAAATCTGAGGCAACTCTCTGGCGATGATTTGATGCAGCCTCGTAGTAAAAAACTTAAGAGTGATGCATCGCTTTCTGATGGCAATGGTCTGGATGACCTAGCAGATGATTTCCTCGGTGACCACAATCCGATCAGGAAGCCCGAGCATCAGCAAAAGGACATCCATGGCGCAAGTGCGGGAACCCTCCAGCCAACTCAAGAAAATTGCTCAATGTCTGCCACTGGCGGAACATTACCTTCCAGTCATAAGATGGTGGCTTCCGTGCCAGAATGGACTGATGAGCAGCTTTCTCAACTTTTTGATGACTACTGACACCAGAGTGCATACTTCATCTAGTAGTTGCCCAGCTTTTTTTGGGTCAGTTTGATGTTGTCGCAAGGGCACAACAAAGTCAGGCATGTTAGTTGTATATAGTTATAGTCTTGAAGATTGGTTAACACCTTAAGGTTGTGACTCACGTGTTCTCAGTGATGTGTCTCGATGACTTGAAACTTGTCTACCAAATAGACAGTTTGTAGAGCAGTTGATGGATTATATCGTAATCTTGTGCAGTTTGAAGGATGCTATTGTTACATGTTGCTCCTAAAATGAAATTATTGGAAGTGGACCGTCTTTATGCAGGCCAAACCGAAGGGCTAAGGGGCGCTGAAAACACTCCTCGGGCTTCTTAGAAATCTGTGGAAGGCGCAGGGTTTTAGAGATCGACGACTTTCCCCATGATAGAAGTAAGAAGCAAAGAGGCGTAACTTAAAAGAAAAAAAGTGATCGCCCAGCCTTCGAGCCGTTTTGTTTCCCATTCTCTGATCCAGTTTCAGCGCTGTACACCCAACAGGCCCGCCACATTCAGACCACACTCTCATGTGCAACCTTACTGACTTTGCAACAAGCAAGATATCCACTTACAACAACATTACCCAGTTCAGTTAAGATCAAAGAGAAGACATGTTCTCCTAGCTCACAACAGTATGCTCCCTAGACCTCGTCCGCGATTCAACAGTCCACGCAAGGACATCAATTACAAAATGTGTCCATGTAGGAGTCGTCACAACTACCAACAAGAAGAGTTCACTCGCATACAAGGATATACTACATGGATACTAGAGAACTCTGTAGTACTACCTCCGTCCTGTTTTATTGGCCCCCTTCGTATTTAGTGTCAAATTTTGACCATAGATTTAAGTCGAATCCAATGATATAATCTTTGGTGACATTCATTGACATTTTGTTAGTTAAATCTATGGTCAAAATTTTACACAAAATACGAATGGGGCCAGTAAACCAGGACGGAGGTAGTAACAATCAGCAAAATTCCTTTCAATAATAAAAAAAAAGCTGCAACGCCACTAACAATGGGTACAACTTAAATTGACAACAATCAATTCAATAGGACAGCATAATATTCTGAGAAGAAAGGCAGAACGTGCCACATTGTTGTATTTGTGTATAGAAAAAGGCAGAAGGTGAGTCCAGATTGCTACAGCTGCCTAATATCCAGTCCTGTAGAACATACTCCTAAAGATATCTACATGAGCATATAGATGCGGGAAAATGAACAACCAGTTTCACAGTATTAGATACTCCTATCTAGTAAATCAAGGCTCCAACTGCCTAATATCGTGAAATGAGTACAAGTATATCAAATCACCAATAAGCCACCACAAAATCTAGGTGGGAGAAATATATCCAAATTTTTAGTTAAACGCTCAGTACAAGCTAAGCCATGCTACTAGCTGGGCATAAGCAGCAAGAACAATCAAATTGAAGAAAAAAAGGCTCAAAATGACAAGTCACAAAACTTGCTGATTTTGAGTAAAATTTTGATATTGAGGAGTTTTGTTAGGAGGGACCGAGGGAGTACTAAAGTATGTGTACTAGAGTCCATTTTACCCAAAATATATGAAAATCACTTCAAGGATTCTTTGATAGCTATTCCTCCAAGGCATGAACTGCTTAATGTTGCTAACTAAAATGCAAATTATAAAAAGTCCCAACTAAGCCACCAGAAAATACAAGCATACCAAGTCATAAAACTGAAGAGATTGTGCAATAAAAGAAATGGGGCATAAGAAAATTTGCATTCTTAAACAGAAGAGATTGTGCAGTAAAAAAGAGGAAAACAAACAACTTGCTATTGGCAATTAGCTAGCAGATCTTGCTAGTAGAACGGTAATATGTATGTATACAGCGATTCTTGTTAGAAGCACAGATGAATGCTCGAAAATTCAGTTTATTCATGGTAATTATAGTTACTTTTCTAGGCACAGAAGTAAGAACTACGAGTCCTGGTTTCTCTCAAAAACACAAACTGTTTAATGAGCCCTAGCAGGCAATGCAACATAGCAGTATTCCACAGAAAGTATGCAGCAGATGAAAACCCAAACTTGCATAACTAATTAGTTCCAGCATCGTGCCAATAATTTCAATGCATCCAAACATCTCTATGTGAATAACCATTACACTGAATGAAGATAGAAGAAATGTTGTCTCAAATTTTCAAAGCCAGCTAGATAGTTTTATGCGACTCCAAAGTACATTTGATAACAGTTCATTCATCATACCCACGAATTGTCAACCATTTCTTCATACGCGACGGCAACCAACTGCATACACTTCACTCCGAACCTTCAAGTTCAGGTGCTTCATCACCAACTAAAGAAGGAGGCCATGCCATAATGTATGGATAGCCACGACCATCATACCTCCCCTGAATCAGCAAGTCAAGCTCCATAGTCTCCAAGCAAAGGGAGAAAAACCAGCAGCAGAGTAAGCCAGAAGGGGTCATCATTGTTCTTGATAAGTAAGCGGTTCCATCCCTAACTTGCACAACCTTGAGGTCTCCCTGAAAGCCCTCAGTAATGCGATCGACTTGAGCACCCAAAGAGATTGCCTTGTGCGGTATCCAGCTCTGAATCCCATCACCATCCACGCTATGGGTCCAAACCTGGAGGAGGAAATCAGCAGATACATGAGCAATACAGAGTCCACCATCCTTGGTCTCCCCAGCCTTGCAATTGTGCCACTCCACCTTCGCTTGAGAGGGTAGATCCACAGTGGTGACATCCATGGTCGTGGCGTCGATCCTTATCATGTGTGCTTCGCCGTGGCAAGGCCAGTAAACAGAATCACCCACCAGTGTGCTAGTCTTGCACTTTAGGCTGTTGTTTCCACCGATTTCCACCCACGGGTTGATGGCCCAATCCCACGTTTCGGACGAGAAGACGGCGGCACGAACCCTGGACGCGTCAGCGCAGATGCAGACCACGCGAAACGAGGAGGGCTTCTCGTCGGAGTAGAGGAGGTGAAAACCAAGGAAGTTGCGGGTCTCCGCCATGAAGTCGACGGGGGGCATCGGGAGGGAGTCGACGGCCCAGGTCATCGGGTTGAGAGCGGCGAGCGAACCATGGAGCGCATTCCAGAGGAGGGCGCGCCCGCCGCGGCAGTCGTCGAGGAGCCAGCCGCGGGACGCGTCGCCCTCCGCGGGGAGGGAGGTGAGGAAGAAGTCGCCGCGGCGGAGGGAGACGGCGACGTCGGGGTCGAAGCGGCGCACGGGGACGAAGGTGGGGATGCAGATGCCGTCGGTCTCGAGGAAGATCCCGAGGAGGGGCGCCGGGTGGAGCGCGTGGAAGAGGCGGCGGAAGGACGGGGAGGACCGGACGGCGCCGAGCCAGGTGCGGCAGGCGAGCGCGGCGCGGACGAGGGCCGGCAGGTTCGGCAGGCGGAGGAAGATGTCGAGGAGCAGGTCTTTGCCGAGGGAGGAAACGGTGGTGGTTGTGGTGGACTCAGGTTCCGCCGGGGTCGCCGCCGCCAGCAAGCCACCGGCCATTGCTGCGGGGAAGACGGGGTCGGGACAGGCGGCGCGGGGGAGGATCGATGGGGTCAGGGCGGACATGGCGGAGCTGGGGTCGGGACCGGCGGCGGCGGTGCTCGATGCCGGGGGAGACAGCGAGCGACTGGTAGGGTTCAGTGGGACGGGCGATTTTAGCGGGTCCGACTCAAGCAAGGAGGCCCGTGGTTTGGGCCCAAATTATCTCCCGCCGACCCAACTTATCCAAAATTTGCGCGGGCCTGTCCGAAACGAAACGCCCAAATGATTTTTTTTTTTGAATTGAGGGGCACGCCCCGATTTCATTTCATTGAATGAGAAGAAACCGAATAAACAGAGTCATAAAAAAAGTTTGTTTCTCAGCCCGAGATACCCTACCTTGGCCTTCAGGGGGAGAAAGACTAAATAAGCGCTATGGGGAAAATGGTTACCACACAGGGCTCCATCCCCGACCCTCACCTTTTCTAAACAGTGACAGAGCTTAGAACAATCATATTATCCAGACATAGACTACACGATATTCCAGCGAAGAAACTCAAAACATAGAAAAACTCTCAACCCACTCCCAGACGTCTTGTCATTGGCGCCCATCCTCTGCTCTTGTTGAAGAAGCCATTTGCAACATCAACCAACAACGCCGCCACGTCGCGCGGCTTCTGTTGCCTTTCTTTTCTCTGTAAGTCAGCCCAGTACGACATCTGGTAAGCTATTTGAAAAAACAGCACACTCGGATCATGCGGGTAAATGTGATGAAAAGTGGCAGCGTTTCTGGCTTTCCATAAAGACCAGAATACCGCCGCTACACCCATTGCTACTGTTTGTCTCATCTTCTTATGAAACATCTCTATCCAGCTGCTGAACTCTTCAATTTTGCAAGGAATATCATAAATACCAGTGACATTCCTAACAACCCCTCACACAAACTTGGCTACCACACAAGTGCAAAAAAGATGCTCTACGGTTTCAGAATGATCACATAAACTGCAACTTTTATCTTTACCTTTCCAGTTTCTTTTAGCTAAATTATCTCTAGTCAACACACTGTTTCTGAAAACCAACCAGATGAAAACTTTAACTTTTAGAGTAATCTTAGCTTTCCATAGATTTCTATGAGGCCAAGCTACCTGATTAGTTTTAAGAGCTAGATACAAGGATCGAACAGAGAATTTTCCTGATCTGGTTAATAACCAACTACACTTGTCCTCCTGCTCATTCAAGGTTACACTACTACAGATGCTTTTCAGCTCATACCACATATCAGCAGTGTCCCCCCATAATATCCTTCTAAATCTTATCAAGTTCATGTTTTCGGATAAGGCTTTAGCAACAGTAAAATTAGCACTGAAAGTTAGGGCATACAATCTAGGGAATTGCACACTGAGACGTTTGTCTCCCAGCCAAATATCGCTCCAGAACATAGTTCTCTCCTCATTACCCACTATTTTTCTACTATACTGGAGGAAAATAGGGTTGACTCTCATAATTCCTTGCCAAAAATGAGACTGCCCAAGCTTCTTTTTGCACCCCCTAAGAGTACATTTTCTCAGGTATTTCTTCCTTACCAAATCTTGCCAAAGACCATTATTATTTTCAAGTTTCCATATCCACTTACAAAGTAAGCAAATATTCATAATATCCAAATCTAAAACACCTAAACCTCCCATCTCTTTAGTTCTACACACATCCTCCCATTTCACTAAATGATATTTCTTAACATCTTCTTCCTCTTGCCATAGCATCTTTTCATGTAGAAATTCATTTTCTTACTAGGTCCTTTAGGTAATTCAAAGAGAGAAATCATATAAAGGGGAATATTGCACAAACTGGAAGTAATTAGTATTAATCTACCCCCATATGATCTATTTCTACCTTTCCAAACACTCAATTTCTTCTCCATCTTCTCCTTAGGCCAATTCCAATCACTATTACATAGCCTCACAGCATTAATAGGTATCCCTAAATACTTAAAAGGTAGTTTACCAACAGCACAAGTGAAAATATTAGAATAACACTTTGTTTCCCTTTAGCCTCACCAAAACAAAAAACCTCACTTTTATGGAAGTTAACTTTGAGACCTGAAAGTTGTTCAAACAGACAAAGAATCAATTTCAAGTTCCTAGCACTCTCCAGATTATCCTTAAACATAAATATAGTATCATCTGCATATTGTAACATGCTAATCCCATTTGGTATTAAGTTTTGCACTAGGCCTTGTACTAGATCCAAGTCTTGAGCTTTTAAAATGAGCAAGTTAAGAATATCAATAGAAATATTAAACAAGATTGGGGGCAAAGGATCTCCTTGCCTCAGCCCCTTTTTCGTTTAAAAAAAGGACCAATCTGGTCATTTACCATAACAACTACCTTACCCCTCTCTACTGTCTGTTTGACCCATTCTCTATATTTAGGAGGGAAGCCCTTCTTTTCCATGACAAAATACAGAAAATCCCAATTAATTTTATCATAAGCTTTTTCAAAATCTACTTTAAAAAGCACTGCACTCTCTTTTTTCCTATGTACTTCATGCAACACAATCACCCCATCCAGAATGTATCTACCTCTAATAAAGGTTGTCTGGACAGGAGCTACAACTTTATCTGCTACAACAATGGCTCTATTGTTGAGCACTTTTGTAAAAATCTTAAAGATCACATTTACTAAGCAAATAGGTCTGTACTGTTGCAAAGTCTGAGCATCAGCACATTCGGGAATAAGTGCAAGAACCCCATAGTTAAACCTAGCTAGATCAAGTTTCCCATTGTAAAACTCGCAGAAAAGATCTAAAATATCTACTCCTACGATGTGCCAGTATTTCTGATAAAACTCTATAGGCAGACCATCAGGTCCAGGAGCTTTGTTGGTTTTCATCTCAAATACAACTTTTTTTTATCTCTTCTAAAGTGAACTCTCTATCCAATTTCTCTCTATCTATATCATCCAGTACAACTGGCATGTCAATTTAAAGGAAGATATTAGACATCTTCTCTGCAGGCCCAAATAATCTCTTATAGAGAGCAGTCGCAAAAAGTAGTAAGTCTTTATCTCCTTGGATTACCTCATTACAATTATTATTAAGGGAAATAATCCTATTCTTTCTTTTCCTACTACTAGCTTTAGAAATAAAATAAGCAGTTAATGCATCACCCTCTAACAATTCTTTTTCTTTAGATCTCTGTAACCATTGGATTTCCTCTTCCTTATGAATCTTAGAAAGTTCCTCCTCCATCTTCTTACGTAAGATGTATTTGTCTCTAGTTAAACCTATATTCTCACTCTCTCTATCAATCTCATCTATAGATTTCGTAAGAAAAACTTTCTGTTTTTTGTAAAGCCACATGTAATTAAGGTTCCACCCCTTAAGTGTTCTCTGAAGAACTCTAGCTCTCTTTTGCCACTGATCTTGTAAAGACTTAGCATAATAGGAATTACATAAAACCCCAATTACTACCGCATCTAGATCCTCTCTCAAAAACTAGCACAATTCAAGTTGAAAAGGTTTAGTAATCTTAGGCAAATTCAGACCAAAATCTAGTAGTAAGGGAGCATGGTCAGACAAAACTCTAGGAAGAGCTCTAAGGAACATCAGAGGAAAAATGCTCTCAAAAGATAAAGTCATTAAGATCCTATCTAACTTCTCAAAAACTGGATTGTGTTGGTTATTAGACCAAGTAAACACTCGACCATTTAACTCGACTTCCTTCATCTCCCAGTTCTCAATAATAACATTAAACAGATGTGACCATTTATTTAAAGGCTTATTTCTATTAGATTCTCCTCTTTTTTCTAATGATATTAAAATCCCCTCCAATAATAATGGGAAAAGCATTCACATTACATATATGAACTAATTTAACTAAAAAATATTCCTTATCTTTATTGTGCGGGGCACCATAAACATTCACTATGTTTAAAAGCTCTCCATTTTTTCTATCTCTAACCAAAAACCTAATATGATGGCTACCTTTTTCAGATTCTACAACATCATAAAAAACAGTGTTAACACCACACAACAACCCTCCTGATTGTCCCACAGCAGGCACAAAACACCAGGAGAAAGCACTACTACCACTTATTTTCTAACCAGTTCAAAGTAAATGATGTTTTCTTAGTTTCCTGAATGCCAACAAATCTCAAATTAAACTCTACAATTGCATTCCTTAGAAAGTTTACTTTCTCAGGGTCACCCAGCCCTTTGGCATTCCAAAATAAACCAGCCATATTAGAAAAGTTTAGTTCCTTTAATATATCCTTTACTTCTACTTCTAAACTTTCCAACCACAACACCATTGTATAATTCCCTACTATCTTTTTTTCTTTGTAGTACAGTTCCTAGTCCAGCAATATTTCTAATAATACTATCTAATTCTTCATTATCTTGCTCTTTCCCTTCATCATCAGTAAGCAAATCTTCCATTTCCTCAATACTAAAACCCTCATTAATATGGTTATTAATCACAATTTTCTCTTTGTTTTTATTGATGCTAGCATTATAAACAGAAAGTCTAGAAGCTTCCAAGTTCTTCAGATGTTCGACATTATTAACTACTTCTTCCTCAGTCCCTCCCAATTTAAATCCTAATTTAGTAGCAATATCAACTATCTCTCCATGAGCAGTCTCTAAAACATAAGGTACATTATCAGAAGAACTATCTTTGCATGGGGAGGAATTTTTTTATGAAACATACCTGGGATAGTTTCCAAGTTCTTGACCTTGGCCCTGTCCATGGCTGAAAGGATCGATATGCTTGACTAGAGGGGGGGGTGAATAGGCAACTAACAATTTTTAGCTTTTCTTTAACAATTTAAACTTTGTATCAAAGTAGGTTGTCTAGATATGCAACTAGGTGGGCAACCTATATGATGCAACAAAGATAGGAACACAAGCAAGCAAGAGATATAGCACAAATAAGCTTGCACAAGTAAAGGCACGAGATAAGAGTGGAGCCGGTGGAGACGAGGATGTGTTACCGAAGTTCCTTCCCTTTGAGGGGAAGCACGTCTCCGTTGGAGCGGTGTGGAGGCACAATGCTCCCCAGAAAGCCACTAGGGCCACCGTATTCTCCTCAC